TTAATCATGACTTTGTTTCAATATTTTAAATTTGTAATGCTTTTGAAATAAATAGATTTTTCTATGTTAAATAAATCTTATACTACTTGAATCAGCTATAAACAAAAACTTCATTTCATTAATGACATCTTTTCATGCTACCAAATCTTCTTCATGGCTATAATTTTTACTAGCCAGAAAATCTGCACAATTTTTGTGAATAAAGATGTAGAGAATAAGTAATATAATTAATATACATTTTCTTTTGTTTATCATTCAATGTTTGATAATTACTTTGCTGATTAATCTTATTATTTTGTATTTCATAAGGCCTCCTTACAAGAGTCTTTTTTATTCATAGAATTCGAACTTCACCACATCCTATCTATCTCACCATATTTCTTGCTATATATCGATAATAAAACATAGAATTTGATTTCTACCGAAATGGGAAAACAATTATATGAAACATAATTTATTTCATATTAAGCTAGCTAAATGTGTTCGTTTTTTTAAAAACAATTGTTAATATAAATAAATTGAAAATTGTGCTATTTTAATTGTTGGTAAGAGTTATGCCGAGATTGATTGTCTAGAATTTACATATATTTGTTTTTTTGGTTGCTAATTAAAGTTATGCATGTATATATTAATAATGTAAGAATAAATACTATAGAAATCAGTTATGCAAAAACTACCGTACATAAACTATTTCTTTGGATTGGTTTGTTGTACTAGAAATTCATATAATTTTTAAAAATAAAATATTTATTTACAATCGTAACATTTCGAGTGAAATATATCCAAGTTCACTGATTTTCTCTCTCAATTCTTGTCTAGCAATTAATTTTATACAAAGCAACTAAAAAAAATACGAAATATAAAACTTATGCTAATTCTTATACGTAAATAGCTTTCTTCCTCACCAAACAACCCATAATTGATAAGAGACCTTTTTATTATGTTGTATGTGTATTTTATATATGTTAATCATTATGATATATGTTTTAACTAGTGATTCACATTGTATAAAATATTATTGGATATATGTGAGTATTCTTGTGTATATACGGAAGTTAGTAATATTTTATTTTATTTATTTTATTATATGATATAGATACATGTGATGATGTGAATATTCACATTGTATATCATGAATATTCTTGTGTATTTAGAATTTGACAGTTTTCAGGATATAATCATAAGAAGCATCTATTTTGGATCCAAGTGTCAATCCCACCGTCTTCAGTTCAGTACTCCAGGAAAAGCTTTTCCGTACGACATGGGCACTGTTCATCCATAATCAGAGGTCTCGTGTTTGAACTTTAGATATGAAGAAAATCATGTTGAAAACGTCACCTCAAATGACCTTGTAATGCGCAATTTAAATTTAATTGAAGCTCCAATATGAACTCCAAATATAAAAAAAAAAACTTCTCTACAACATATTCACACACTCCCAATAATCCTTTTTCTTATTTCAAATACTTTTAAATACTTATAATTGTTCTAAGAACTTTCTTTGTGTTAACAATATTCTTATTATTTCAATTTAAATCGTCTAAAGTTATAAAAACTATTCTATCATCTATCGTCTAGCAATACAAAAACGTTTTCAATGATTAACTACTTCTATATTTCGTTACATTTTCTTTTGACATCTTTCTTATCTTCCCTCTCTATTATTCATTTATCGTTCTTACAGTTTTTCCTCTTTTAATTTATAATTCATGCGATGACGAAAGTTTAATGTATAAAATGCGATTAAAATGAGTTGAATAAATTTGAGAAAATGTATTCATTTAGACGAAATAGGTAAATACAAGTATGATATATGATCAAGTTTATATTAAATTCTTTTCTTTTCCTCGCAAAAAGTTGATATATTGTGAAAAACAGGATATTTGTGAGTAATTTTTTTCTTAAATGATAATCAAATTTAATTTAATGCAAGATATATCTTTTTTTAATGAAATGCTCCTGAAAGTGTTTATAAGGTTGGCAGTTTGCTTCAATTTTTTCTTTTTTTGGGGGAAAAATAGGATTAGGATTTTCAAGAAAACATTATTTGAACCCATATTCAATTAAAAAAAAAACATAAACCAAAAAGAAAGTTTTTGAGTCCTTGCAAATTGTCAAAAGCTACTAAAAAGCCCAATCAATAAAATTGTGAACCGTCGGATACAGACATTATACACGTGGCTAACTAAGGGGTTGAAGTGAAAAAGGCATACAGTAAACCCGCGGCGCAGGAAATTAATCCCACCCCTCCCCCGAAAGCCACCTTCAGTTGAAAATAATCAGAAAAAGTTAGGAAGGAACTTCGACGGAGAAGAGGCGTAGCGGTGGCCGATGGATACAGAGAAAGATCAGAGACGTAAGGAAGGAAGAGAGTGACGGCTAATTTTTTGAATCGATTATCGTAAGTGCTTTTCCCGCGTTTTTTTTGGCCTGGAACAGTGGAGAGTTTCTATACTTTTGATGATTTTTTTTGTTGCGTGTAATGTACTAATTATAGTGAGATTCATGTATATCTGCAATTTTGATTTTTTCTGTTCATATTTTTTTGAGAAGATTTGACCATCAAAAGGGGAAGAAATCTAGCTATTGTTTTAGTAACTTCAAGTAGATGATTTTTGTTATAGTACTGAATATATGTTGGGATAATTTTGTTTAAAATTGCATCGTAAACTGCATTTCTAAGAAATATGGTGTTAATAGCTGAAGAAATTAGAAAATTCTTAGTTATATCAAGGAGGAAAATGAATACTTAAACTTACTTGAAAGTTAAAATATGATTAATGTTCGTCGAATTATTGAATATCTTTGGCTTTTAACTGTTATCCATTATCCTCGTTGGAAAGTCTCTAACACCGGACAAATAATGGTAGTTGTGATTAAATAATGATGTTGTTCAAATAATTGGAGAGTTGTCTAATTGTGCCAAAAAAAGGAGGAAAATTTGATCTCCACACCTATCTGAATGGGGGAAAACAGAAATCTTGCCCTCTTTAGATTAAATAATTGGGAAAATATGATGTTTTAATTATGAGATATGAGGATATGTTGTGCTTATTTCTAAGGAGATGATCTATTATTCTACGATGGAAACAGTACATTATTAGCTTGAATTATGAACTAACGATCACTAACTCTTAAATATCATGAGCTGAAATAAGGAATTAATAGGAAGTAAATTGAAACAATTAAGATAAACAAAGTGCACGTGTTCATTTAGAGAAATATTAACAATTGATTCTGATTATGCATGGTGATAACCTTTTGGAAGTGGAAAACATTGCAAGTTTGTAAGTTGTACAAACTATGTAAAGTAGCCAATTTAGTTAAAGAAATTCATATGTAAATGCCTGAAAATTTATTCCTTGATTTGCAACAATTTCAAGTTAGTTTGAAGGAGCTTTGGAATGAGTGGATAGTGTTGGAGGGAAAACAGCTTGGATGTCGAAACATAAGCAAAATCATATGTCAGCATTACCTCAGTCATGGAACTTGAGTTTGAAGGCATACTTCCCTGTTGGCTTACGATGAAATCTTCTCAACAGAAAACCTGAAGTAATTTTAAAAAACGATAATATTAATATCAGAGCTGTTGTTATGCTGGCTGCTTCTGTGCTATATAAACAAAATGTGGAAGGCAATTTTTGATGTATATGGCTGCTTCTGTGCTATATAAACAAAACGTGGAAGGTAATTTTTGATGTATATTTATACATAAACACAATACATATACAACAAAATGTTACCATGTGTGACAGCACATGCTCCCACAATTATGTCTATCAGTGATGAATGTGGCTCGAGTTCTAAACTTGTGGTATGAACTAAATTTGGCTTAAACTGGACTAGATGTTGTGTATGTTGGAACTTAGAACTTAATTCCACTTTGAAAATTATTTGAGTTTTCCAGTTGCTGGCTTCTATCTGCTGAAGTATACGATGTTAGATAACTGAGGTAAATCACTGGACTTATTGAAGATCCTGATGCTGTGTCTTAATTTTGTTAATTAGTAGCTCAGTTGGTACAACCTTGGACTTTTTCACAGTCCTGATAATGTGTCATAATGATCGCAAGTTCAAGTCCTGCTATACCGAGATGCAAAAGTTATGGATCCTTATATTCTTATTTTTCACAGTAAATCCCCCTAGCGTGAAGAAAGGGGAGCCTCTCTCAAGTGATATTAGTAGGGAGAGGCATAATAACTGAAAAACTGGACCAAATTAATTCAGTTCTTCGGTTTCGGTATTAAATTTTTTAAGACTTTGGTGTTCGGTTCTCGGTTTTAGGGTCCTTAACTGAAGAACTGACATTTTGTGGAGCTTCAGTGTAGAATACTGCAACCTTTCAGTGAACCATATCTCTAGGCATATATTCCCCTAATTACTTGTATGTCCATGTTTATCAACATTTTGATGATATATATAGTACAAGCTCACTTAAAGATTTTTTCTTCCCTCAAACTCAACTTCTAATGCAGATTTAAATATATCAGTGATCGCTCAAGTGACATGTATTTAAGAACAGAGGATTTTCATTATTAAATGGAAACTTTGAACAAGAGTTGTTGATACATTCAATCTTATTCTTAAAAATAGAAACAATAAAGAATAAGAAGAGTAAAAGTTGGACACTGCTATGAAAGATTGAATGCAGGGAATAAAGACCAGTTTCTTTATAAGACAATAACAATGTGTGTACATAAGTGATGCTGCACACACCATCTCTACCCCAGTTTCTACACAGTCTACCTCCGTTGATGGTGGTTTCTCTTCAACCCCAGATTTAGTGAACCTTGGGTTTGGAGTAAGAAGTACTTATCAAGTGCATACCGAAGAACCGAACCGAATTAGAAAAATACCGAACCGAATCGAACTAGTTCTGTTCGGTATTCAGTATGCACCAGTGAAGAACCAAAAACCGAAGAACCAAACACCCACCCTTAGATATTGGCACAAAGTACATAGAAAAAATGGCTACTGGTTATACACCTTAGGATTTTAGCACAGATTATCTGCTGTCCGTGGACTATATATAATTATCATGGATTTATTTTTAATTTATCTATGTACTTTACCTGCACAATATCTTCTCCAGAAATGAAGTCAAGGAAATCACTGAATCCTCCTTCGTTATAGGACAATATATGTTGTTCATCGACAAGCGCTGGGGCAGGTCTAACTTTTTTTCCTAAAGCTAGACTGTGAAGACTGGCAATGGAAAGGCGCTTTTTCTCTGAGTTAACTGTTGCTCGGTGGACAACACCTTTGTATTGACCATTGCTCAAGACTTCCATGTGATCTCCCACCAGGGCAATGAGGCCTCCTTCAATGACTGGAACCGAATGCCACTTTTCATCTCGATCCATGATTTGCAAGCCCTGATGATTTTGAAGAATGATGGATAGCAAAGAATAATCTGTGTGTGGTGGCAAGCCTAGTGCAAGATCCGGCTCAGGACATGCTGGATAGCAATTAACGGCAATGACCTGGGAGCCTTTTGCAATGTCTTCATGTAAGTAATCGGGGTTTAGTTCTAAGCTCTCAAATATTACTTCCATGATTTCTTCTTGCAACTTTTGTACTGCCTTTGTGTAATTTCCCATTTTCTCCCTGCATGATGAGCTGCTTTAGGCTTTTGAAATTATATTCTTCTTGAACATTTAGAATATATGTATATCAGAAATATTTCAGAGATAAACATATTCACTTAAGAATACAAGACTCACTTGTAAAATGTGGGATTTGATGGCCACAAATCTATCCAATTTGAGATTGGATTAGCATAGTGCTTGAGGAAGTCTCTCCAAAAGGATACTTTGTCTTTGTCATCATTTAGACTGGTACTATACCTTACGGGGTCATGAACATTTGAAGACAAGAGATGCAGTTTCTCTTCACTTGGTAAATCGAATAACTCAATCGCATTATCTAATGCATCTTTCATGACTGACAATTGAATTCCATGGTTGACTACCTGCACACAGTCATTTATTGCATGCATGCTGTTATTCTACGTCCAGGTTGAATTAGTAAAGAACTTCTTATTCTCTTTCCTTTTAAACTGCTAAGTATATGAATCTACATCATCAACTGAAAATAAAAGGAAGAGAGAAGGAGATAAAGGCCAGAACATTTTTTATTTGCTTCGCGAGTGCATATTGTTATCTCTTAAATGGTATCAGCATGATGAAACTTTATGTACATATAATATACCAAATTAAGGTAAAAACATATTATTCTAGTACATGATTGCTATTGTGACATGACAAGAAGTACGTACCTGGAAAAAACCTAGTTCCTTGCAGGCCAGGTGTACTTGCTGGATTATCTGAGGCCGAAGAAGAGGGTGTTGCAGTAAGGATAGATCCACAATTGGCAAGCATGTGTTGGAGTTGGACAAGGTTCCGTTGGGGCGTAGGGATGATGGAACGATGTAACGTTTGGGAATACAGGTTAGTCCCTCTTCAGTAAGTGTCATGGCACTTGTAAATGAATCATTTGGTGTAGCTGAGCTCTTATCCATTTTGTTGTGTTTCAAATATGACTTGGACTCGCTATTTATATAACAGGAAAATATGAAGATATAATTATATTTTCCTTTTAAAAGTTTACTTATTTTGTTATACAATGAATATGTGTAGGAATTTGATGATACCATGACTATAAGCAATGAAAAGTATGCCTTATTGTATGCTCATAATAAATGAATTATTGTATAGTAGCACTATTGTTATAAATGAAGGCAGGAAAATCTTAGATGATTTTCACAAGTTGATCCAGAATGTAGGGGGGGAAAATAATAGAAAATAAAAAAGTTGAATACTACACTCACTGTGTGTTTAGATTCATTTAGTTGGGTGCGCTCTTGAATGAATGAGTAATTGTGTGACCCACGCTCCAGTAAGGTTGTCATTTTCTTTATTGCCGATGTAAGCGGGAGTTGGACTCCAATTCACTGCTATTTTATAGTCAGATATTTTGGTCAGACCAAATTTTAGTATTCAGAATTTATTTTTATGGGTTCTATCTTTTTTTTTTGTTGACTAGGTTAGGAAAACAAGAATAAATGAAAATTTATAGACTACGTAAAGAACAAAAATGATAATCGAAATAATATATAATGAGTAAGAACTATAGCAAAAGATTGTGAATTCCTTGCATCTCAGAGCTTGATAATACAGTCGTATTTAACAAGTCAAGATGAAATATCTTCTTCTTCCATGCCAGGATTGATTTATAAGTTTTTTTTTTTTGCATTAAACTCAATATATTTTTAAGTTATGAGTTGATACTCAAATTGATAAATTTTTGCTTTGCCTTAAAAATAATGAGTTCATATGAACTCGATAACGCATCCATGCCTGATTATAATATGTTTATCTTCGATGGAGAAAATAAAGGGAAGTGATGAATATCAAATTGATGAAGCCATTATATATCTGCATAGTAAATTTATAATCAAATTAAGCAGAATACAGAAATTTCTTTTTTCTTGTATTATGTGAGAGAGGTAGGAATATCTATTATAATATATGTTATATTCTATTGAGAAAACAAAGGGAAGTGATGACAAAATTCAAGTAGAATAATGCAATGAGACGAAGCACACTGTCTCACACATAGTTTTTGATGCATGATAGCATAGGTTGTTGGCGTTAATGAATTATATTAGAACATGACATGTGCTGTGTGCACTCTCAATTGGTGTTAACATTCTAAAAACTGTAGAATGACTAAATAAATTGTCTTAGGTTGTGTGGCGTGAAGGAAATATTTTATAGAAAAATAAGTGTTTTTTTTTTACTTGTTTTTTGGTGTTTGTAAGTAAGAAGAAAATATTATTTTAAAAATATTTTTTATAATCTAGGCAAATATCATGTGAGAGAGGTAGGAGTATGAGCACTGCTAAAAACAAAAAAAAAAAATGCACTGCGAATCAATGGGAAATAAGATCATAATTTCATTTTCTATTAAACCAATTCACCCGAAAAATGCATTGTGGAAAACTTTTTAACTTTTCCATATGAAAATATTATTTTGTTTTTCTTTCTCCATCGATTTAATCAAGTATCTATTCTTACAGTGAGAAAATAGTGATTTTTTAATAGTGGAGATGGGATGTATTAAAGGGTGGTGAGGAGATATTTGACATACTAATATGTTATTACTGGAACTTATTATTTTCTACTTTCACTAGAGGAGTTATTTCCCCGGTTTCAAGATTTTTCTTTTCTAGAGAAAATATTCTATATAATTTTTAACATAAGTTGAAAAATATTTTCCTCAGTTCGAAACACACCATTATTATGTAATCCTTCAATCTCACAATAGTCCAAATTATCACTTTTCTGTTCAACCCTTGCCAATACAGACAACGAATGAACCAAATATATGACAACATCACAATTTTTTCCCCAAAAGATAAAGAAATCAACTTGTCTCTGTTAAAGTGATTCGCGCAGCTCTATCATCTAACATGTACTTCATGGCTTACATTAGATCAAGTATATGGGTTGGCAATCCTTTCTTTATTTTTCATAAATATTTGTAATGAGGATTGAACTTACACGTATTGTGTAAGAGACTCATCGATAACACGTATTGTTTGGGGATACTGAAAAAAACAGCAGCCAGAAAGGACAAGTATGTCACCATCTAATACCATTCATTACTATGATGCCAAGCTTAAAAAGAGGACAAATTAATTGGATGCTACTGGGGGTGACAAACGGGCGGGTTGAGTTGAAATTAGAAATTTTAGAAAGAAAAATTGTATGAAATAACAAACGATTAATTCAAAATAAATGTTATAATCACAATTTCATTTAATTCTAATTCGTAGCAAACACTTTGCCGTTCGCCTCTTCCCAGAAGTTTCGCTCGCCACTCTCATTTTATACAAACACAAATGTATAAATTGTGTTTGTGTTTGTATAAAGTGAGAAAGTTGTATATACAAATACATATCTTTTCGTCCTATACACTTATAATTATATAATACAAATCCTCCCTTGCCCAGTTCTCTTTGTCTTTCTCTCTTTCTCGCTTTATACAAACACAAACTATACATTGGATTTTGTATAATTTGTGTTTGTATAAAGTGAGAGAGAGATATTTATATACAAATCTATTTGTATACAAAAATACAGTTACATATACAGATTTATATTTAAATATATATAATACACATATACATATACGATTAAAAATCACAACAAAAAAATATATACTTATACACCTTATGACCAAGTCAGTTTCTTATTTGTATACATATTCCAAATATATACTTATACAATTGGAATGAATACTGAAATATACAAATTAATAGCTCCATAGCAGACATAACATTTGCTATGGAGCGCAATTATGCAAACTATAGCTATAACATACAAATATGATTTTTATGTTTTGCTAAACCTAAAATTTACTCATTTTAGAATGGGTTGAAATATAAATTGAGTTGGGTTTTGATCTGTCCAAGTTTACTTTGTGCTCAAATAGGTTGGGCTTAGATGAGCTAAAAATCAGATTGGGTCATTTCCCGTCCAATTTTTCCCGCTTAATTTCAATAATTTTACATATTGTTATTTAACTTTTTTAACCACAATTTGAATTTGAACTCAAGAAAATTTTAAAAAAAGAAGTTACAAATGGATAGAAAAATCCTAAAGGTATAAAATAGATAGTAATTCATACCTTCAATATAGGAACATACATTATATCAACACAAATAATAAAAAAAAAAACGGGTTGAAATTGGATATTAAATTGGAAAAATTACCTAACTACACATCATTTATGTAAGTTATACTATTAAATTAGGTTTAATTGAAGATTCTCTTAAAATAGGTTAAAACTTAAATGAATTGAGATTGAACCCATGTTAAATTATCTTGAGCCCAACCTTTAAAATTCTGAATGAATTGAACGGATTACCTATAGTTGAACTCATTTTGACACCTCTAGATGCAACTGCATTGTAAATTCAGATGATTTTCATTTGCTGGAACAGAAAGGAAAGAAAACAACAGTAAAAATATGTATGTGTGCCCAAGTTAAATAGACTTTTACTGGACTACTCAGGTGGGGTTAAAAAAAGTATTTACTTGTACCTGTTTATAAAATTCGTTCTTTAAAAGATTACAACAATAAGTGAAAAATGGAAGTAAGTGTCCAATAACCAAGAGCTTTACAAGTAGTTGGATGTGAGAATTCATTACTTTTGGAGTTGCTGGGGCTAAGAAAGTAAGAATAATCAGTATATGTCAGTAAGTGCTAGTAGTTATGATCTTGAGTTCGAGTCTGAACATGAAAAAATCTTTGATAGGGAGTATTCCCCCTCGAATGAGTTCTACGTGGCATGAATTTGAAATAGTTAAACTTCAATGCAGGTACGACACCGGATGAAAAAATAAAGTAGTTGCAAGTTTCCAAGTTATAAATCATAATAAGTTTTTCAAAACAATGTGACCTCAAAACTTCCAAGTGGTAGTAGTTATTTACAAGCTTCCAAGTGACTGCTTTAGTTAGAAAAAATCCAAAAACAATGTCACCTCAATCTTAAAAATTGTTTGGGAAGGGAGATCACATGAATTTGGTTCATGAACATAGAGTTTTTCCTTGGAGCTTCTTCTTTAATTCATACGTGGCACAATCCTACGCCTAATTATTGGATTGTAGATTGTTTGTTAAAATGGGTAATGGGCGGGTTAAAGAGTATTTGAAATTTGGGTTAAATATTTGATCAATCCGGGTTGAGGCGTAGGATTGCGTCACGTGTACAAATGAGTCTTTTGTTAGTGGGAGGGGTAAATGTGCACTGATTATTGGACGGCGAGGACATTAATGGACGAAAAGTATAACGGAAGGTATTGACATAACATTTTTGAAAGTTCGGAATATATTTATCCCTTTTCCCTTGTTTTATTCTTAAAATCCTTCAATAAAGTTTTGGATTATATATATTATATACAGTAGTATCTTTTTTGGGCATTAATTTCTTATTATTTTTGTTTTATTAGGCCAGCCATTCTCCTATTAATATTAAAAATAGCCATTATTTTAAAAATTGGATTTCCACCAGTGAAATTTCAAAACACTATAATGTCAGATTCACTAGTGAATTTTAAAATAATGATTATTTTTCTTGCTTGTCTTTCGGTTCGAGATCCTAGCCTTATTTGTTTGCAAAGATCTTGGATAATGACATTAGATGCGGTCTTGAACTTATGACCCTATTATGTCATGAATACTTTAAGAGGGTAAAAAATTTAAGAAGTTAATACCTCAAATGACCATTCAACTTTGTATAGTTCACTTATAAAGTCACTCAACTTTGAGTTGTTTACTTAGAAAGTTACTCAACTTTATTTTATAACTCAAAAATCACTTAACTATTGATATTTCACTTAGAAAGTCACTCAACTATTGATATTTTACTTAGAAAGTCACCCAACAAACTTAAATGATTTATTTATTAAATTTTGCTGAAATCTAAATTTTATTTTAAATTAGTTTTAAGAA